AGTTATTATAAATATTTAAATAATTTCAGTTATCTTTCTGTTCTAATAGAGGCTACATTTTATATTGAAATATCATTAGTAAAATTGTGAAATGGAGAAAGTTCAGGATGTCTGGGAATGTGGCCCAGCCCCATTTTGTCCAGAGTCTGGTATGTGTGTGGAGAAGTCCTGAAATATGAGGTAAATCTGGAAGGGTCAATCAAGTTGAAGCTTTAAGAGTTTGTTGAGAGAAAAATTGAGGAATCAGATGTAAATCAGATCAGGGAGTAAACTCATTTTGTAAATGTAGTCAGAGAGGCTTATAGTACAGGAAAGTTATTTTAGTTTCAATTAAGTTAATAGGAAATAGCGAAACAGTATTATTGAATCACAAGGAAATTGTGATTTATTATGAAAATCTTTTGTCATATTTCTCTGTATAGTGAAAGTTGTTTCAATGTTATACCATTGAAAATCATGAACAGATATAAATATATAGCACATTTAATTTTCCTCCCTTTAATCTTAATAAAATCTAGGAATAATTGATGATGGGGGAAAAGATAATTATAAGAATAAATCAGTGAAAACCATGTTTAATACTTTTTTAAAGTACTAATCTATAATTTAATATAGTTTTTTAAGTAGGACAGGTAACAAAGAAAACTATAAAAATGTCCAATATTTTGAGACATCTATAACAAAATTGACCTGAGAATCTCTCTACTTGTCCACCCAAATTCTCTGATTTATTCTGGAGACAAGGCTCCTTGTCTTACTTCTAAGAATGACTATTTTATTGTGCTACTTACTGCCTTATGTTCATGAACTTTGAACACATTCTCACCTCTTGATCATCCATTTTTAATTTCACAGAAATGTCTCAGAGGCTGAAAAGCAATTTGTGACTCACTTAATTCATTTTCTCCTCTATAACACAAGAATAGCATTTCATTTTTTTGATATGCAAATTCATTTTTTTATTCAAAATAGCCATCTTGAACAAGATTCAGAATGGGGGGCACATTTTTACTCATTTTTAAATTTATGTATGTCCTCTTATTCTTAAAAGTATCCAAGGCAGCTTATAATAAGATATAATAAACATCTATCCTAATAAAAGGGTAATATGCTAATTAGACCTGACATCTTCCAGACTTCCTTCCTGACAAAGCCAGGAGTGTGGCTGGCCTGCAAACTCCCTGCAGCCCCTCGTCCAGGCCACCCTGGCCCCCTGTGGGGACCCCCATCCCGATGGGGGGCATGGCCATCCTGCAAACCCCTGGCAGCCCCTTGCCCAGCCTGTCCTGTCTCAGCGGGTACCCCCATCCTGATGGGGGCATGGCCGGCTTGAAAACAGCCCCAGACCCCTCGTTTAGGCTGTCCCTGCCCCCTAGCTGGGACCCCCACCCTGATCGAGGGCAGGGCCAGCCTGAAAACCCTGTGGCCCCTGTCCTGGCGACCCTGCCCCCCAGTGGGGATCTCCCCACCCCGATCCAGGGCCCCCATCATGGCAGGCCAGCTGGCCCCCACCTGTGCACCAGGCTTCTATCCTATATAATAAAAGGGTAATATGCAAACTGACCCTAATGGCAGAACAACCGCTGGACCAGTCACTATGAGACACACTGACCACGTCTTAGTCCCTTTTTCTGGCTGGCAGACTCTGATTGCTTGATGGCCACCCGAGACAGGGGCGGGGCCAGTGAGTGGGCGGGAACAGCTGACCTCTTGGTCCCTTCCCCTGGCCATCAGGCACCAATCACCCTATGGCGAATGGGGAACCGGGAGTCGGTGGTGGCAGGGGGCAGGGCCGGCTTGCAGGCAGCTGGGGAAGATGGCCCTGATTGCAGGCCAGGCCTAGGGACCGTACCCGTGTATGAAATTCATGAGCTGGGCCTCTAGTATTATATAAAGCACATAGTAAATTCTGGTGAACTACACAATGTGAGGAAATTGAAGCCAGGAGAAAATATTGGAGAACTATTGGAAAAGGCTGTAGGGGACAGTGCAGAGAGTTGTACCCCAGGCTGAGAGTTGTACGACCTGGGGCACGGAAGCTGATACGCAATGCAGTCCACCCTCCTTTCCCGAGAACTGCCTATCATTATGGAAAGATTTACAAACCTTGTGGCTGAAACAGTTTAGTCCTGGAGGCACCCACTCTTTACAACCCTGGCCCCTATTGCCTGCAATCTGGTCCTGGGGTGCCTGGAGGCACCTATCCTCTGTGACCGCCCTCACTCCACCCCGCCCCCCCCCCCAGCCTGCATGTTTTGTAATCTATAATGATTCTACCTTGCCTACTTTCCCATGCTTATAATTCCTACTTTCCCACATAATCTTTGTCCTTCTACCCAATATAAGTAGCTGGCTTATGGGGAGAGGCAGAGCAGATCTTTGTGGATGACCTGCTGCTCTCCTGTACTGCTGGCAGTATTGGAATAAACATTCACATATGATTCAACCCTGTCTCTGCTTAATTGGCTCAAGTAGTGACAGGCAGCCCGGACCCCTTGGTTGTCCAGTTACAACTGGACTGGCTTTATCTAGATGGATGTATTACTTGGGACTTGATTAATTACATTTACTTGAGAACAGTAAATATTGTTTATCTCTACCAAGTTTTTGATTAGTGTTAAGTGGCAGGAATTTAATGTTAACAATAAGAGTTGAATTTAAACAGTTAACCAAGTGGGATTAGGATTTGTAAAATCAGAAAATTGCCTAATGGCTTAAATGATTCAGGCATTATTTTTAAGGCCTCTATAATAGATTCCTACCACTCATGTGGTGAGCTCTGGTTATATTAGGCTTGTCCATACTTATCAATATCAAAGTGTTGTGGTGGAGTCCTATAAATAGAACCTTTATCTCAGTAATTTTTACTTAAGATATCAGAAACACGCATAACAATGAAGGAGGATTGATTCAAAACAGAATCTCCCTAATTTAAGTTGTTAAGATCTGCAGAGAAAGATATCACAAGTATTAACTTGCACTTCTGAAGGTCAAAGAGAATTATTTATAAGAAATGTGTATCACTGCCCTAGCTGGTTTGGCTCAGTGGATAGAGCTTTGGCCTGCAGACTGGAGGGTCCTGGGTTCGATTCCAATCAAGGGCACATGCTTGGGCTGCAGGCTCGATCCCCAGTAGGGGGCGTGCAGGAGGCAGCCGATCAATGATTCTCTCTTATCATTGATGTTTCTGTCTCAATATCTTCCTCTCCCTACCTCTCTGAAATCAATAAAAATATATTTAAAAAAAAGAAATGTGTACTGTTTTATAATTTTCCTGTGTATCTTGAAAGAGTGAGAGTGCTAGGGATTTGGGCTCATAAATGCAAATATATTTATCACAGCCTTCAATTAACTCCCCCCCCACCACCACCATTTTCATGTGTATAGATCTACTTCTGAAAATTAAATCTTGAAGAGGTTAAGGTGATACTGGGGTAGAGGAGTGCCATGTATAGAATACTGTGATAATGTAGAAGATCTTTGAGATAGAACTGGAGGCTAGATATCTAAGTGAGCTATATTTTAAATAATTCTTTAAAAAAATTTTAAATATGTTTTTATTGGTTTCAGAGAGAGGAAGGAAGAGGGAGAGAGTGATAGAAACAGTGTTGACCATTAATGATGAGAAAGAATCATGGATTAGCTGCCTCCTTCATGCCCCCTACTGGGGATGAGCCCGCAACCCAGGCATGTGCTCTAACCAGGAATAGAACCATGACCAGGGTTTCATAGGTCAGCGCTCAACCATTGAGCCACACCGGCTGGGCAATAATTCTTTTTAAAGAAACACTTCTTATTGCAGAAATTCTAATCAAATGAAATGACAGCTAGTGTTTTTCTTCCACATTCCATCTTTTAGAAATTGTATTTGCTTGGCTAGACACAACTTTTTGTGGCTTGTCATTGGTCATCAGGTCTATGGGAGGTTTATAGATTTTAGTGACTCAGCTAAGCATTAAACCAAACCCGGGTGGCGGGGGGGGGGGGGGGGTAAGGGGGGCAGGCGGGGGGGGGGATGTTCATTTTTATGATAATGAACAGATTTCATTTGCAAAGCAAATGGACCAATCTTAATTTCTATGATAAGAATAGCAGCAAGATCCCTTATGTTTATTATAGGACTTTAGTTCCTACAGTCTTCATCTTCTTCCTCTGAGGCGCTACATTTTACCATGGGACGGATACCAACATTTCACCCTTATTTCTTAGCAGTTTGTGTTCAACCTAGTGCTGACCATTAAATTAGCAAAGAGTAGTGGAATATAGTTCCCTCTAAACTGCTGAATGCATAACATGTCTTAAAGTTGCATAGGTCAGTCTCAGTGATCATGCTGATACGCATTTTATAGTTGGTGCTAACACATGCTTACTCAACCCTTCCCCCTCCCGCCGAAACTGAGAAGGCATCTGTAGAAGGCCTGCTTTCTCAGTGGCTATTGCTTTTAAAAGGTGAAGAAACTCAGAATAACCATGTTGGATATTCACGGTATACTTTTCAATTGTCCTTATTGAAAATAAGGCTTGGTGTCTATTATCCATGTTAACAAGGGATAAACTTTTAAAAAGAGTGTCCTATTATATCCTGATCACAGGAAAGTTTGGTGATTTTTTATATTTGTGATTATTCACATGTGTAATAATAAATTTTTGAGTGTCTTAAACTTTCATCCCAATAAATAATTATTTGGATACACAGGAGTTGAAATGTTTTTGAAATCTCAGTTGTTAAGCTAATGTTCCTGTTTAAAATATTAATATTGGTGGGATAAATTAAATATTATTTAAATGTTAACAAAATGCAGTTTTTGAGTACACAAAATTTGTGGTTAAAGAACAATGAAATTACGTATCAGTCTCCTTTAAAGTATAAGCTAAGCTATGTTTATAACAATATCAAGCATTTTCTTCATGATTAAACTATACATTTCTTAAAAACTTTAAACATAATTGACAGATATATGAAAACTAATACTATATGTTTTTTTCTCCCTTAATTTTAGTCATGATTTCATTGGAGAGTTTACAACGAGCTACAGGGAACTTTCTCGAGGGCAGTCACAATTCAATGTGTATGAGGTAAGAGGAATTTTATTTTATTATTTCCTCTGGAATAAATATATTTATGCTTTAAAAGTATAGACTTTGCAAAGGATAGTTGTCAAAGGTTAACTTAGTACAGATATATATGTATATATGAATCTTTAAAATTATTGACAGACTTGTTTCTGAGATTAAACGATATTATTTCTCTTCAAGTGACATGGTCTTTTAAACCTATTTTGAGACATTTAAAGTTTTTGCCTATGTAACTTTTTCTTATTTTTAAAAATTTCAATAGGATGCAAGTTTATTTTTTTCTTAAGCTTCACGCTTCATGTTTGCCTTCCCACCAACCTCCTCCTTAGTCCTTTTAAATATAAAGAGTAAAATATGCATTTTAGTTGTGTCAGCATGGTGATGTAAAATGAACTGTACTTGGCTTAGTGTGTTTGTGCACATTCACTGTGGTTTAGATGAAGACTAAAGGGAATGGCAAGGCATGATTCAGTTGTTAAAGAAATCTAAATTATTAAAGCAAACACACTGGTGATTTCTGCCTTAACTGCCAGGTCTGTGTTTTAGCACTGTTAATCCTTGAGCTATGTTATCTGTACATTCTCTATATTTCTAAATTTAAAATACATGGATAGCAGTTGAGAATATCTCAGTATTTAGTCAATAATGGTAACTATTTCCCTGCCAGATTGATGCTAAAATTGACCTCTTTTAATTAAGAGTGGAGGAACCACCTCCTTCTACCACCTTACTGGCCTAAAGCAGTTGTATTCCATGCATTCATTCATGCATTAACTTATAAATGAAATATTTATTACACGGCTTCTATATTCTCACTCTGTATCCGGCCCTGGGGACACAAAGATGAATAAAAATTTCAGTGTCTGATGGGTGAGACAAACGCAGGAAATATATTTAGTGTATTTTGAAAACTGCTATATATAATAGTATATACTTAGTAGACTATGAGATATTTGGGTTGGAGGCAAACTCAACCCAAGAAAGCTTTGTAGGCAAGGACAAAGATGGAGTAATGGATCAATTTTTATATCTAAGTCTTTCAAGGAAGGAATATTAAGGCTCTAAACAGGTAATGAACGCAATATAAGACAGGCTGTACTTACATAGAAGCCTGTTTTCTCTGTCTACCCTCAAAGCTGAGGAGGAACGGCCTGTGTACCAGTGCTCCTGGTACTTTGGACGCATCTACTGCCAGTCACCACATAAACCTCCACAAACCAGCCACTCTGCGTGCGTTGGTGCACTCCTTATGTGTCCCAACAGTGTAAACTCTGGCTTGGCCCTCACCTGCCCTTTCAGCAGATTCGTGGTCAGCCAGTAATTAAGAATTAGAGCTTCCTCGGGTCTTTCCTGGCCATGCAGAGACCTGCTCATATACTTGACCTTCTAGATCCCAGCCATATGCCTGAGCTTTTAAAAATCTAGATTAGTTTGGCAGGTAAAGTTTGTCTGGATTTGTGGGATTATAGCATTATCTCCAGAATTGCAGTTATACTGGGTTGGAACTCATTTTGAGGCTATTGCTAGGTCTACAGTGGGGTCCTCGGTTGGTGTGCTTATTACCAGGGGCTCGATTGGTCCCTAGGTGGAAGAGACTGGCTTAGTGCCTTGCTCAGTAGGATGCTACTGGGTCTTCAGTCAGCTAGCCTGTTACTAGGTGCACAGGTAGGTGTGGCTTCTGCCAGGTGCCTGGGAGGTCTCCCCGCTTAGTGGGCCGGACCTGGGCCATGCCTAAGAGGGCCTGGAACTCAGCCCCGTGGCTCTTTCAGGTTCCATAGCCAAGACTGAGATCCGTAGATCTGGCTCTGGAGGCACAGATGAGCATGTGTCCTGTTAGGCCCCTGGGTGGGCTGGACCCAAATATAGGGATATTTCAGGATCTCCTGAGGTGCACACGAATGTTTTATAGTGGGTCTCTGTGTCAGCAAGATTGCTTACAACTGTGGCTGGGTGGGTCTGGAAGTGAGCGTTGGGCCCTTTAAGGATCTAAGGAGTTGCAGATAGGACCATTACCCTGGATCTGCAGGACTGTTGGTGGACTGCAGCTGTGAAGGGGCTGGGCCCAAGTAAAGGGCCCTTTTAGGATCTCCAAGAGTGCAGAAGGCGATGTGTCCTGCTGGATCCATATGCCAGCAAGCCGTCAGACTTTTTTAATCTTTATGATTTTTTGCGCTCTGTTTCAGCCAACCTGGGCCAATTACTTTTTTCTCTTTCTAGACCATTGCATTTGTCTATCCCCTTTCATTGGAGTCCTAGTTTAAATGAATAAATTCTGGTTCAAATAATACTTACTTATAAATTCTTCATTTCCCTATTAAAATGCGCCCTTTACATTTTGGATTGAGACGTGCTGAAAGATCCTTTCTTAAGGCACTTATCCTGTTAGATTGATTTATCCTATTAGATTAACAGGCTTTCCTCATCTTCATGTTCTCTCTATCCTCCCATATAGAGAGAATATTACTGCACTGTAGAATGCAGTAATAGTTCTCATGGCACAAACAGCCCCAAATTCAGTCTTTTGTCCACAAATTTTACCTTTACCAATTATTGTGCAGCCTGGGTGTCTGGTTGACATTATTACCAGAATAAAGCAATATAGTCCATAGAGCCCTTATATATCTACATATTTGGGTGATCTGCTATGTTAGTGTATTTAACCTACTGAAAAATTAAGTCTTTTGACTATACTTTTCTGTCACAACGTATATATATTTTTTCTACAAAGCACTTATTGTTATTTAGAACCTTCAGTATTAAAAGTCTTTCTCATATCAAGAGATGCAGATGGGTAAGAGTAATCAATGCATAACGTCTTGAGAACATTAATAAAATAAAGCTTTTTAAGAAGAATGAATAACCCTAGTAACTATAGCAGAGGAATTTTGGCTAAATGACTGCAGGAGTCATAATAAAGGCATTGGTGAATGAAGAAAGGCATAAGAAGTAAAGGGAGCAGGTTGAGCTACACATTTTAAAATAATTTTAGTATCAAACCTAACACATTGCAATTCTTTCATCTTTTTAAGGTGGTGAATCCCAAAAAGAAAGTAAAAAAGAAAAAATACATTAATTCGGGAACAGTAAGTCAAGTATTATGTTATTCTTTAAGGATTCAAACAAATGAATGACAATGTATATGTATAACAGTTTTCATCAGAATCAAAGCAACTCTTCACTTAGAATTTTAATATGAAGGTATATAATAGAAAAATAAACTGCCATGGGAATGTTTCTAATGGAGAACACCTTGTAGGAGATAGTGAGCCAGCTCTCTGCAGGTTGCTCTAGGTCAGTGGTTCTCAACCTGTGGGTCGCGACCCCTTTGGCGGTCGAACGACCCTTTCACAGGGGTCGCCTAAGACCATCCTGCATATCAGATATTTACATTACGATTCATAACAGTAGCAATATTATAGTTATGAAGTAGCAAGGAAAATACTTTTAGGGTTGGGTCACAACATGAGGAACTGTATTTAAAGGGCCAGAAGGTTGAGAACCACTGCTCTAGGTCAAGGGGGTCATAATGCCTGTGAGGGAAGCTGAAGTTTTGTTAAGAATAATTCTTCTTTGGAACCACCCTAGAGAGAATCAGGCAGACATGAAAAAATGTAAGTGGGAGTGAAAAATACTATAGTCCTTATAGGCTAACCTTAATTATTATGACTCATTTTACAGCATGAGAAAGTACTTGTTTATAGTTCATTAACATTTACAACTCTGTAGGAATGCTTCACTAAATCAGTGCAGAAGGTGCAAAAATGAAAGTATCCTAAAATTGTGAAAAATCAAAATCATCCTATTTTGATAAAAAAAATATACTGAAGATTTTACCCTAAAACTAATTCTCTTTGGGGGAAGCAACTTCTGCATTCTCTCCAAGTTTCCTTTTAAACATTTCTATAAAGCAAGACACCTGAAATATTAGATGGCCTCATTACAGAACCATGGCAGAGACACACATTTCCTTTGACACAACGAAGCTTATTCATTTTGATTTTTTAGTTTTAGCCATTTTTCAACTCCCTTTCATCTTTTCTTTTATCTAAAATGAGAAGTAACACAGTGTCCTTGAAAATAATTTTTATGCTATTCTTTAAAGGAACTAAACCGGTCATAGAAATTAGTTAGTTAAAAATTTTTAGCCCTTTTCCTTCTGATAATTTTAAATGTAAGAAAAATCAGTCCTGCAGATTTTAATAAAGAATATCTTTGAATTTCAAATGCTAGAAAATATGATTTTCTCCCTAATAGTTGGGGGCGGGGGGTCCATTTGGGGTTGCAATTAGTACTAGCTGGTGATCCTGCCCTGTTTTTCTCTTTCATTCTTTATTTCTTTCCTTTCTTTCTTCCTTTCTTTCCTTTTTTTTTTTTTTTTTTTTTTTTTTTTTCAGGTAACCTTACTCTCTTTCTTGGTAGAAACAGAAGTTTCATTCCTTGACTATATTAAAGGAGGGTAAGTCATTTTCTGAAATTGTTTTATTGTCCAATCATTCCTTTAAATGTGTGTAGCAAGTGCTACCACTAGGTAATAGACAACTGAAATAATCACTTTTATTATGTTTTGATGGCAGATGAATTGCACTTTTGTTTCAGACCTATGAGATAAATTTATATGCCAAGAGCTATTACTTTTAGAAAAAATTGTAACTTTTCTTTGACCAAAAGAAAAAAACTATTGTGTTAGTAAAAGCTGTAAAGGTATATGTGCTTTCATAGAATGTTTTCATTTGTCTGACACCTGGGACTTTTTAACTTCACTTTTTATTATTTTTAAAATTGAAGAAAAATTTTAGCTGAAGGCTTATTGCAAATGTTTATTCTAGCTCCAGATTATTAAAGAATGTATCTTGCCATGAAATCATAATGCAGATATGGATGGTGAATAATCATTTAGTTGCTCCCTAAGCTTCTAGAAATATATATTAGAAAAAAAATTGGTGGTTGTAATCATTCTTAAAATTTGCCAGAGTCCATACAGACCCTGTCTAGGTAATGTATTATGGATTTTGCTCCTATTTTTTTAAAATCTAACCAAGCATCCCCAGAGATTGCAAACAATCATCTATTACCATATGGTCTAAAATATCCACATTTTCTAATTTATTTGCTGTCACCTTGTATTTACAATATATAAAAATGGTAAGAAGACAGATTTGAATTTTGCATAATTTCATGGCAAATAAGAGCAGACAGAGACAAAACTCATGTAAATCTCTTCCTAATTACGATTCAGCAAGAGTTTATTTTTATTTTTAATACTCGTTCACTGATTAATTGTCATGAGGCAGAAGAAGAAGACAGGATGGAAGACTGAGGGGGCAAGAGGAGCAAGGATAGTTTCCCCCAAAAGAGAGAGCTTTCTCCATTTTGCTCTTATTTAAGGAAACAAAACAAACAAAAACAATGCTTGCCTAAGTGGAGAATCTTGGCTATATATAGACAACTTGCAACCTGCCACCTGGCTACACAGTCATAGAAGCTATGGTGGTTCTTTCAATAAAGTTAAAGGAAAGCATACTAAGTGGAAGAAATGTTTGCCAGCCCTCCTTAGTATTCCCGGGTCTGCACATATTCTTATTTTTATAAGATGGGATAATAAAACACCGTGTTTATAAAAATAATAATAATAATCATAGACCCTGGCCAGTGTCCTTAGTGGTTAGAGTGTCGGCCTATACACCTAAGGGTTGCAAGTTCCATTCCAGGTCAAGGGCATGTATCTGGGTTGCAGGTTAATTACCACCTGTGCTCCCTCTCTCTCTTTTACCCTCCCTCCTTCCCTCCCTTCCACTTTCTCAAAAAATCAATGGAAAAAATATCCTCAGGTGAGGTTTTTTTTTAAAAAAAGATACCTTCTTAGTAGCTGTAGCAATAAAGAAAGGTGGTAAGACAATGGATATCTCAGCATAGTCTCTCTTTTTTTTGCCATAAGGAGACTTTACTGAAAACAGAAAACCGGGCGAACCAAGTATTACAAACAGGAATGTAGACTCGTAGCAAAACAAAACTGGGGGGGAAGGGGAGGCGAAAAAAAAGAAAAAAGCAAAAAGGATGGGGAGGAAAGGTGGAAGGGTGTCTGTTGGAAGAACGGAGGGGGCAGGGGCAGAAAGCAAGGAAAGGGAGGAGTAGTTTTCTTCTTCCTATTTCTTAAAAAAAAAAAAAACAACACAAAAAAACACGCACGCACACAACCAATGTTTGTTCCCGAGTAGAAACATAAATAGGGCAGAATCGGACACTGTTCTCTCTTCCAAATGCAAAAAAGTAAAAGAAAGGGCAAGAAATGTTTAGAAATGTCAGCATAGTCTTTTTAAACTAAAAATAAAGTGTTTGCTCTATCTGGCTTATTTTCCTGTTGAAATAATAATTTGAAGTTTTAAAATGTTAAAAATGTCTTTTGTTTTACTCTGTGGGCATGTTTTAGGTATGTGTGTGTGTGTGTAGGTATGTGTTTGTGTGTGTGTGTGTGTGTGTGTGTGTGTGTGTGTGTGTGTGTGTGTAAGAAATACCCAATATGTTTTGTCAGCAGGGAAAATCTAATAACATTAAAGAAATCATTTTTATTGATTTTTCACATTTTCCTACTATACCTAGTGCAATGACAGTCTTGACTATATCACACTGTCATATTTTTCTGCTGCTTCCAACCTCCAATTTTATTTTATTTTTTTGGCTTACATACATCCTATTTTTAGCACTGTCTGTGCTAGAAGAAATGCTTGTGACCTTTTCCCGGCAGAAATCAGTATATAAATGGAGCCCCGATCTATGAGGTACACTTTGTTTCAATCCTAACTTCCCTTGAGTTGATAAGACTCCATTTTTGATTTACAAATGGGACCTAGGGAAATAGAGTTTGAATTTCACTACATAATTAATCTAGCTGGACTTATATTAACTTTTATATTATAACCATATTATCTAAAAACTAGAGGCCTGATGCATGAAATTCGTGTAAGAGTAGGCCTTCGCAGCCGCAGGGGCTTCCTGGATCCCTTCCTCGCAGCCGCAGTGGCTGCCTCGATCCTGCAGCAGCAGCCCCAGCTTCGTCCGGAAGGTCGTCCGGTCTAATTGGCATGTTATGCTTTTATTATTATAGATGACATAAAATATTATTTGCATAGAATACATTTTTATGTGAAGATGTACATAATACGTATTTTTTGCCAATCCGACAAAAAAAGATAGGTATAATTTTGATTCATTCACACCAGATGGCTATTGTGTTGACTGTTGTCATTTTTTTATTTGACAATCTAAGGAGAAAGAGGTCTGTGCCCCTGATTAAATAGTCAGCTATTGCATATTTAAAAATCCTTGTGGTACACCAGTATGTCTACTGCTGCACACCGGTTGAAAATTGATGATCTAAGTGTACAAATGCACTGCAGTGGTGGGAAATCATATTAAAAGCAAAAACATTATTACACAAAACTTCTGAATAATAGCGAAATAGAATATAATGAGCTATACTTATTTTACATTAAAATTAATTATAATAATTGACCATTAATTATGTATAGTTTCAAAAATGGATACTGAATCTCATCTGAACAACATCAAATCAGAATTCCTAGTCTTTTGCAACTAAAAAAAAAATTCTGAAAACTGTTAAACACCTCAGTAATATTTAGTATTCCTCATAGTAATTTTTCCACACAATACTTTCCTTTTATTAGTGTTTTATTTTCAGGTTTTGGGAAAGAAATATTATGTCTCCCAAATTTTAAACATAAATATCTACATTTGTGTTTCACAATATAACATTAAATATGAAATGGTACAAAGAAAAATTAGGTAAAATGAAAATAACTTAATATGAAGCTAGATCCCCTGTAATCATACTCTGTATAAATAATTAATGCTAGAAATTTATTCTCAAACACACGGTTTTATATCAGTGTGATCATACTGTGCACAATATTTTAGAATGTATATTTTTTTCATTAAACATATTGCGCATATATATATATATTTATATTTCCATGTCAGTACCTTATTTTAACAGTTTTTAGCTGTATGGATGCACACAATTTAAAAATATCTTGTGCTACATATTTTAGTTGCAACTATTTTATTTCTCCGTTATAAACAAGGCTTCAATATAAAAACAAACCCTGGTGTATATGTTTTGTGCACTTCATTAAGCATGTCTACAAGGTTACTTTCTAGAAATAGTGTTGTTGGATGAAAATGGTATGTGTATTTCATAGTTTGTTAGATATATCTAAATGGTGTTCCTTGAAGGGCAATAATTGACACTTCTGACATTTGCATATGAAAGTGCCATATCTTTATCCTTACTGAAGAGTGCCACTCCTTTTTCATTTTTGCTAATTTAATAACTAAATATTATAAATCGTCAGTGTTTGTCTGTGAAACCTCTGCTTATTAATTGTGATGTCCTTGGTCAAGGCCGATTTTTAACTAGTGGTGTCTCTGGAAACAGATTTCAGAACTCTTTTTAAAAAATTGTTTTGCGTTTTTTCCGCTGCTTCTTCTCTCAGTCCCACCAAAAAAAAGGTTGAGTGTTTTCAACTGAGAACAGAAGGCAGAAAGCTGACTGGCAGCTACATCCCTAGTGTTGTCAACACTTCAGCTAAACTTCCCCAATATTCACATTTTGGTCCTTGGTCTCTACTCCTCTTTAGCACACATCTAAAAAGACTCTTCTTAATTTAGCCATCTGGCCTTGTTTCTTTTTGCCTTGTGATTGCATTGAAGAAGAACAATAAAATAAGCTAACACATTGGGCTATAATCAAGCAAGCAACCCCAAAATAGTATTTTGGAGGTTGTATTAGCATATTTGAAGATTCGTTTTTCAACATTAGCTTTTTTGAAGAAATGCTCCGCCATTATATCCAAATATAATATTGCAGAAGCTATTGGAACTAAGTGTTGAATTCAGTTTTGTTTTTATAATAAATCATAGAAGCTACTCACTTTTAACTTAAATACCCAAATATCAGCATTTGTTACTGGCATTTGTGGATTGTTTTGTGGTTAATTTGGGTTAGCGTCATTGTTGCTAATTGTCATGGCATCAATTCAGGGACCTACTCACCATAGCCTTTGTAGTCTAGGAGAAACTGTTGTTGAGTTATGCTTATTTGTGCTGAATCTTAATTGGCAAGTAAAGCTAGAGGTCTTCAATAAAGGTGAAAAATCATCATATAAAACATGAGTAACAATAATTAAATTGGTAGTCTGGCTAGCTCTGGGTCACTTAAAATAAAGTTAGTTGAGCTTTTCCTGTATTTTTTTTTCTCTACATGAATTTTCTAAACTATTTCCCTTACATGGGTTGTGTGGGAGAATGAAAATAAAGGGGGCAAAACCGTTGATTGATGTGGAATATGTAGGACTAGTAGATTGTGATTAAACTCTTTGAAATTCTCAAATTGCACTTTAAAATGTCATCTCTCTTCTTGTTTCATCTCACACAAATATT